AGAACATTGATGTCAAACGAATATACATCCTGGTTTTTGTTTGTGAAATCTACGTCTTTTAGTCGCAAAACTACGCTTTGTGTTCTTTATTTTACGCATTGCCTTATGACGTTTTGTGAAAAATCTGTACGTGATGGAGAAAAATGGATGTCATTTTCGGATTGAGCATACAGGAATTACCGTAGAACATGTAAAAATTTCAAGACAATATGCCAAACACTAATACCCAAAAGGGACTTTTTAAATTATTTCTGGTTCCAGAGTATCACCACGAGAAACGTGACAATAAGCTAACATAATTAATTAGTCGAACCGCTTTCATTATGATAATGTAAGGTTTAAACTGGTATTCCGTTTAGTTTAACAGGAGATGTGGTACAAATCTGTATATCCCGTAAAGCTATTTTCGTGTATTTCTATTTGTCAGTATTCACTGAAATGTCAACTATTACTTATATAACAGAAGCAAGTGTCCGCCATCTTCAATACTTATTCACATTATATATATATTTCAGACTTTGTTGGTTAATTAGTGATGTTTCATCCTTTAACAGAAATATTGAAACGTTTTTTTTTTCTTTTCATTATCCACCCTACAACATTTTTATGTAGATTTATATTATCATTAGGGATTAAATTGGAATGGAACGGTTCGGAACGGCGTTCCGCCTCTTGAGGATGCAAGTCATTAGTAATCCTGGTCTCTTAAAATCTTTTAAAATTCCATGGAATATGATTCACAAGCCTACATTTCTGCAATATTTTCAAATTTCTACATTCATAGGTGCTGCCCCCCAGTGGCATATCGATAAGTCTGTGGACTTTCAACGCTAAAAACTGGGTTTATATGCCTGTGGTTGGTGCAGCACAAATAGCTCATTGTATAGCTTTGTGCTTAACTACATACAAACAAACAAAATTCACAGATGACAGAAAAATGATGTCTTAACATAAATCATAACATCCAAAACTATTTTCAAAATTTTCTAATCTAAACACTAATTACAGTGTTCACATTCCAAAGACCGTTTTATTTCATGATTTTCATTGTGTATATGATCGGACGTGGTCCACTGGTCACTTTGTAAAGATGTGGATAGATTGGTTCAAGGTTAGAGACGTGATACCGCTGAACATGCTCTGTACTTTTAGTTGTTGGCGGATGATCTACACTGGCCGTCTTCCCTATGGTCAGAAGCTACGAGGGCTATCTACACTAGCCGTCCCTAATTTAGCAGTGAAAGACTAGAATTTACCACCCACCGCCAACTCTCGGACTACTCTTTTACCAACGAATAGTGGGACTGGTCGTCACATTATAACGCCTCCACGGCTGAAGGGGCGATCATGTTTGATGGGAAGGGGATTCGAACCCGCGATCTTCAGATTGCGAGTCGAGCGCCCTAACCTCCTGGCCGCTCACAGTTAGGGATGACTGTACTTGAACCCTAAATGTTTCTGATCTGAGCGTTTAGCCCACGTGCGCCTAAAATGCTATTCCATTTCCTTAATTATATATATATATATATATATCACGTATTAAAAGTTTCACGTCGAATTACGTTTTAAATATATTATAAGGTTTGGAGTGTTTAAAATTTCATAGTTACTAACGTAAAAAAATCAGGCATATTAGTAAGCATTCTTCCCTGTAATTGGTGTAAAATGTACCTTGTTTTTAAACGTCCGCTACAGCTTTGGCTTTAATTTTCTTGAACAAATTACACGAATCATACATTTTAAGTGCTTATAAAATGACGGAGCATTTGATTAATTTTAAAGAATATTTTGTTATTACACTTTAATAACCCTAAATGTATAGTAAAAAGGCTCAAAGCCGGTAAAAGTTGTATATTACCATAACAGATGGCAGCACAGTTTAATTTTAATTCTTTCGTTTAAAATATTCAAATCCTAAAATTACGAAGTTTCTATTCTGGTTTCATGATTTACGAAACCATTCTTCAGCATTCTAGTCTCACAACGTCTCCAAGTGTGTGACAATATAGGGTTTCAAATGCCACTACGACAACTGGATAACTGTGAAAATGTTTCGAAAAGTGGTAATTATATAATAAGCTTTGGTTCAGTTAAGTGGTACAAATATTGAATTTGTTGAACAACCATTGACCTAGAGTACACCTTTCCAGATACAGTGTACAAACCGCCATGCTGAGATTTTAAGGAGCAGGCGCAAGTCTACTGAAAGTATTTGAACAATTAAGAGATATTTAATCGCCTCCTATTCTCCGACCCCAAAAGAGCGCATTAATTAAAGGGAAGCACCAGACGGTACTTCCCATAATGCTCCAAACGAAGAACGCTTTACTTAACTTTGAGCCAGCCACTTTAAAGAAGCCTGGCATGGCGAGGTAATTAGGGCACCCGACTTGTAACTTGAGGGTCGCGGGTACGAATCCCCGTCACAGAACATTCTCGCTCTTTCAGCCGTGGAGTAGTTATAAT